CCCCAAAACCCCAAAACCCCATAACACAGAGTTTAAGAATAATTAAGAATTATTTGAGTAAATATATTTAATTTATAATTAAAATGTGCATTCCATTTAACTAAGGTCCTCCTATGATTCGTTTAAATCCAAAAGGCGAAAACCTTAAAACCACTATGACTGTGATTGTCATCATTCACATCATTCTAGCTACTCTTAAAATGTTTATTCTTAACCCATTCGCTTCTGTTGGAGATATTATTTCATGCATGGTTTTATGGTGCGGAGTATAGCAACATAACTTCTGCAATGTTCTTATGTATATGATCTTTTGTCTTTTCGACTCATTTTAACTAGCAACTACGATTGCATTCTTGATTTAGACTGGTGCCTTTGGACCCAACAGCCCGACAGCAAGTTCTTCGTAAGTCTAAGGAAGATCTAGTGGGTTAAACATGGGCTTTATCTATGGGTTCACTATTGTTATGTTTATTTTCTATGTTATTGCAGTTTATTGCAGCTTTCAAACTTACAAAGAATTCAAAGCTATTTATCAAGAGTAATTGGGAGATATGGAAGTTGGTAGAATAATGGGCACTAATCCGATTAATTATGGAGCATTACGTAAGTTTCAATCAATACTTAAAAAACTATTTAGCATATGGAAATAGGCAAGGCCAAACAACTACTGCACTGTAATAAAATTAAGGAGTTGAATAATCAAATGGAGGGACAGGTCAAAATTATAGAGCATTTTAAGGATAAGGAAAAAGATTAGCAGACTATTGAACTCAGCAGATATAGAGAGAATTATTGTGATTGGAATAAAGATGAGGATAATACTTTTGTTAAATTTAACTTTATTAATATTAATCAAGCAGCTGCAGCTTTTAAATTAGCAAAAGATTATTAAGGCTAATCCAATTAAATGCTTATTTCGCTCTTTAGTTTGCCAACTTTTTGCTAACTAGATTTCTCCTTTTCCTATTTTTCATAAATCTCTATGCTTTTATTAATTCTATCCTAATTTTTCTGTACTTTCTAAATGAAAACCTATGGACTCTCCTTTGGATTGTGGCCAGGGGCAACATATACCGGGTTCTTATTTTCTTCAAGTACAATTCCTCTAGCTTTGAGTTCTTTTCTTTTCTCTTCAAGTTTTCTCTAATCCTCTTGCTGCTTCTCAATTTCCTTTTACAGGACTTCAGCAATACTTTAATCAGCAGAAGGAAAGAAATGATAAGTCAAAATAATGTCCTGCGTGTCTTCTAGCAAAGCATCATAGTTAATTGCAGGATCTAGGTAGAATAAAAGTGGTAGATCTACTGATTCCTTGGGATAGAGCAATTAATTCTCAAAGCAAAAGCACTGGATTTTATTAAAGTAGAGGGAGCACTCATCTGGAAATATTTGATAAACAGCAATGCCAGCTATTGGCTTATCAGATCTATTGTAAGCTCTATAGAAAGCAAGGGAGGTTTCCCCAGAATTAACTACTAGCGTAGCAGTTTGAGGTTCGAATTCCCAAGGTATCTCATCTTGAGCATGAGCCATAAACGAGATTCTGTACTTTCTATGTACATTTATCTCATCATCTTTGTATTTTCCATACTCTATAGCATGCTGCTTCATTGTAAATCCAAAGGTCTAGCAAATTACATTGTAGAAGGGTACTGTGAGGAAAAAGCCTCCAAGTAAGAACAAACACATTCCATATACACGATAGAATTCACCCCACTAAGCTTTTTCCTTAAATATTTCATATACCTACACTGTCTGTCTCCTCTCCTAGACTGACAAGGGAATTTTATTCATTTCTTCTTATGTTATTTGAGTTTCTTCATGATTTTTTGGATCGAAAACATTATATTTTTTGACTTTATCAATTTACTTGAGATCTTTCATCTCTGAATCAGTCTTAGTTGGAAGAAAGTAGTCTTCTTCTTGCTTTATTTAATCATTTATCATCTACTGTAAATCCTATTTTTCCTATTCTTTGCTTTAAGTCGAAAAGTATTTAGGATTTTAAAGGGGAATAGACTGTAAATTAGAGAGATGAAGGAGTCTAAAGTGAGATTGGCATCTAATTTTTTTGAAAGATTATTTCAGACCATTAATTATCATTTTAATTTGCTAAATTATAATATTAAATAAATGAACTATCTTCAAAAACTTAGACCACTTCTATTTCTAGCAAGAGCCCATACCCATTAATCTAGGCAACTTTTCTTTAATAATTTCTGCAAACTTAGTTTTCAATCAAGGATGTTCAGTGCTACAATCTAGAATAGTTAAATTGGTGAAGTCATGAATAATTTTTACTAAAGATTTGAAGAATTGCAAAGCAGTGATATCACCCCACTTCAGCTGCTTATTTAGATAGGCAAGTAAATGGAAGAGATTTTAGACTAGCATCTTGATTACCAAGAATACTAAGCATTTTCTCCAATCGCAGAGGAGCTCTCTTATTACACAGTTTAAGTTGTGAAAGGTTAAAGTTCAGGCAAAGCTCTCAACCTACCAATTAATCAAACTTAAAGCTATATTAAGTTTGGAACCACCTTCGACATTTAAAGCAAAGACTATTGGAAAATAGTTTCAGACTCACTATAGCAAAACATTGACATGCTTCCAGTTCACGATCAATTCTAAATCATTACTATTCTAAAGCAATTCGGCCTTCTCAAGAATCAAATTTTAACTAAAACAATTACATCAATTGAACCCTAATTAGCCTCTCTTGAGTTAAGTAATCTATTGAAGTTTTTCGCTATTTATTCAAGCGAAGACGCTGCTGCTTCAATAATGTATGATTCCAATTTAATTGATAAAATTGATTTCCTACTGTCAAACAACATTTCATTAATGACTTCATCAGAATACTCATTAGCTATTTAATCTATATATACCTTAGATGGATATCACAGTGGTATCAGCAAGTTCCAACTTTTCATCTAAAATTCAGTGCCATTTGTAACTAGCTGGCTAAAGGATAACGATTTAGACTTGGATACAATTGGCTATGCAGCTAGCTCTATTGTAGAGAAGAAACAAAATATTGACCAAAACCTTTATCAATAGTTTTTGAAAGCTCTAGAGGATAATATATTCAGCAACTCAGACAAACTAAAAATTTAAGAGGCTTGCGTATTGATACAGAGCATTCATTCAGAAGTATCTCAGGAAGTAATTGAGGTATTAGATAGAATTATTGGTAGAGATATTGACAATATATCTATAAGCTAAATCATTCCAACAATGGTAGCATTTCTTTAGAGTGGAAAATCTAGAGACAAGATTATTCAAGCTTTGATCGTTAAGTCAAAGAAAGAGATGTATCACTTCACAGCAAACGAATTGGTTTAGTTAATCGCAATATACACAAATTTCGGAAAATAGGCAATTGAATCATTCCTTGATATTCTTGAGCCATATCTCCTTAACAAAATAACTTCTCTAGATATAGATTCCTTGATTCTGCTCATCAAATCACTCTATGGTGAAAAACTGAACAAGCGATATACGATTTTAGATGAGGCTGAAAATATCTTTATTGCTAACATTAGTGAAGTACAATATGGAGATTGCGCATTTTTACTTTACTTTTTTGCGAAAGAGAGATTTGGATCCAAGCTTATGATTTAAACCCTGCTCCATAAGTTCGACATTAATTTCTTTTAAACAGATAGAGTGCCCATCACTCTCAAAATGCAAGTTCTTGTATCCATGAACATTGTGGGCAAAGATACTAAATTTATTCATGATGCAATCAAAGCTATCGATTAGAAGAGAAGTGATCTCAGCCTTGATGATATATTCCTAATTGATAAAATTTTATCTGAGATTCCTACAACAGAAACATAGTTCGATTCACTTAAAGCTTATTACAAAGAGCAACTCAACACAAGAATTGAATGAGATCCCTTAATTTAAAGATTGAATAGTTTAGAGAAATAGAATTCAACAATGAGGTATCTTATATTTTGGAATGATCTAATTCTAACACAATTAACTCTTTATTTAAATTACTTAAAAGTTAATTATATTTGTAATTATTATGTTTGTAAAAAATTTAGAATGCATGGGGTTTTGGGGTTTTGGGGTTTGGGGG